ACTAATTATGATTTTTTAGAGCCTAAATCTTAAAATTCTAAACCCTAAAAAACCTTTTGACCCTTAAAACCCCTTAAACCCTCAAAACTAAACCCTAATACAACATAATTAATCCAAACATAAATGATATAATGAATAAATAATTTTGAAAAAGTGGCATTTTTGTAAAAATTGTAATAATATGGCATTTTTGTAAAGTGGCACTTGAAAAGTGGTATTTTTTGAAATTTCTCAATATAATTTTTGGTACACAAAATTAAGAAATTAACATATTGATAATAAAATTTAGGTAAGTAGCAAAGAGGTAAAAAATTGTTACAAAATTGTGGAAGTTATTAAGGAAAGTGGTAAAAAAAACCTAAAAAAAAATAGTTTCAAAGATTTTCCAAAAGATAATCTCTAATAGCTGTAAACCATAAGAAAACAATCTAGATTAATCCTAGTTGGCGGCGTATTGAAAGCAAGATTCATCATGTACTGTATAGTTAACTATATTCGGTTTCTTTTTATGTTTTTATAGTTAACTAAAATTATAACCAAAATAGTGAACTATTTCTTTTAAATAATAATATAATCCACTATACATACATTAGTTAGCTATTCAAATAGTACTATAGTTCACTATATAAACATTACAATAATCAATTGAGTTAAATGTATTTGGTCTATGTTTATCAATATTGTTAATCACTATAGTTAGCTATTATCTCATCAACGGTGATCAAAATAGTTAACTATACAAACGTTAGTTAGCTAGCTATTGAAATAATAATATAGATCACTATGTAAACATTAGTTAACTATTCAAATAATAATATATAGTTCACTATATAAACATTGCAATTATCAATTCACTTGTATTTTTTGGTATATATTTGTCAATATCGTTAATCAATATAGTAACTATTATCTCACCATTCATCTTCTTATTGACTACTTTGTGACTAAAACGAAACAACCGATTAGGTAAATTAGAATCTTTCATCTTCGGAGAAAAAGAGAATTGTGAAGGAGAAGAGATTGTTGCAAATTCGGTAGGGATTTTT